CACACACACACACACACACACACACTCCATATGTGCAATTGTAAAAACGTAGTAAAATCATTTCTCCATTGTGGATTAATAAAGCACATTTAGTTTATTTACTTGATTTTGTGAACTTTGTCAGCTTTTTTCACGTCTTGATCATTGTCAAAGGAATGTTTTGTTTGTAAAGAGACCCAACACTGACCTGTGAATTATTTTTAAAAGATGATCTGATCTTAAGAAATAAACGAGTGTTGCACCTCGACAAGGAACTTGGATCATCAGCTAACTAGTCAGGTCTTGCTTGATACTTTCCTATATTCCTATATTTCCTGTATTTACATATGAATGAATGATACTTTATTGATCCCATGAAGGGAAATTGCAGTTCAGAACAACCCATTTAAGAGACAAAACACAACAGACTTGGAGAACAGGTGCCTCGGGTCCAGCAGCCGTAAGAGGTGCTACCCTTGAAAGAAAAAAAAATACCACATGATGAAATAAAATGTAAAATAAATATTACAAATACAAATAACATGGAGGATGGTTTAAAACGTATATGCTTTTTTTGTCATTACTAATGATTATGTAACAGTGTAGAAAGTGAGATAAATTGAATAAAATGATGAAGTTGCTTTCAGTTCTCCAACACAACAGCGTTCTATAAACACAGGTGTTTCACCTACAACGTATTGATTTAAACAATACAAATTGCCATAGATTGTGCCTTTTAAAATGKATGTGTGTTTGAGTGTTTTTTAAATAATACAGGTATGGCCTTTGTCCTTTTTAACAACTTTAGGCATCACACTCTAAAATGTAATATAACAGTATTTATCATGATGTAATAAACAACACAAGTAAGATAGTAATACAGTGAATTGTCTTGCAAACTCTACAATATTCAAACTAAAGAACCATTTGAAATTGCATGTAGCGTGTAGGAATTTTTTGCAGCCACCTTGTGCGGAGTAATCATGGGATAGTTCAATTTAAAACCCCAGCAATATTCAGATAATCTTTCCTGTATGCTAAACAAATAGAATATGATGCAATATTACAGGCTCTGATGTCTATTGCTTATTAACAGGGAGTTTTAAGAAACTATAATTGGTTTTACAGACATAGATTGGTCTTTATGGTGATTTTGACTTTCTGACTGAATTAAAAAGCTTTTTATTAGGAAAATTCTTCCGGTGCCAGTGAATGACCTCCAGGAGACAAAAGGGCGCCATGGTTTTCAGTTTCGAAACAACTCGTTCACCAGCAGGGGGCGCTGTGCACAAACTCAAACACACATGATGAAATACGCTGTAATGCTTTTTATATTTTTTTAGGAGGCGACTGTAAATAAGAGGTTATCTTGCTGGAAATAAACCTAAAATAAATGTAATTAATTACTTCTTTAAGGAGTACAAAAGAGTTAAAACAATTAAATCAGCTCTGCTGCTGTATTTATGCGCATGCGCAAACAGGTGTTGCCCCCCAGCCTCCTTTGCTCCAGCCTCATAGGCCACCGTCAGTGGGACGATCCCGGAGCCGTGGCTCGGTGGGCAGGGCCATCGGTTCCGTAACGTTCACACGATTTGGAGGAAGCTACATTTCCCGAAACACAGCTGGGGCTGCCCTCTCGGACAGGACTCGGTTCACGGATCGCTCGCCATTTTTTAAAACCATTTTCCATTAAAGGACTAATTTACTCAATTAACACTTCAAAGGCGTTTTGTTTACGGCAGCACAGCTGTCCATGATGATGGATATGGAGGTGATGCATTCCAATCAACAGGTAAATGACATTATTTATTATTTATACATTTCATGCTCGTTTGAACCTACACTGACAACTTATTTTTAAAAAATTTAATTAACGATATAAAATAGACCAGGTACATTTCTCATATTTTTCACAACTAATAAAAACAAACATTTTCAGAATAAAATATTTGTTTATAAGTGTCAAACTGTCCAGTTAAACATTAAACACATAAGAAAACAACCAGGTTACTGATGTAACACTTTCATTTCTGCAAGTCATCCACTTGTGACGTTTGTCCTCCACAGGAAATTAAAAAAAAAAAAACATTATTAATGACTTATTTATGTAGGCGTCTTTAGCTGGTTCTCTCCATATAAAGTGAAATGGCTTCTTTCAGGCTGGTGAAGTAAAGTTAGGTAACAGAAAACCTGGACTCGATTGTTTTCTCATGTCCCCCCCCTCCTCCTTTTCCTCCCTCCCCTTCATGCATGTGATCTCATATCTGATGGCTACAGGGAGGTGTTTTTTTCTTTTCCCTTAACCACCCTGGAGGATAGTGTCAAAGCAGATATTGCAGCTTTTATTGTTTCTCTTGGTTTTAAAATGTTTGATTTAATAAAAAGAACCCCAGGAGTTGAATTTTGCTTTATTTTAGTTAATAAAATGTTACCTTTTTTGTTGAATTATGTTATTTAAAAATGATATTAAAGAGTATTCATTTATGTAAATGGATGTGGCGACAGTTATTGTTGTGAAACGTTTCCTCAAACTTGATTTGKGCTAATCATTATTGTTTGGCTTGTGTTTATTTATAACTGAAGGCACAGTAGTTGAATTGGTATGGCTGCATGTTGGCAGACAGTCAGATTATGTGAAAACCCCATGTTTCCGTGTTCTGGAGACAATTCTGCTATTTGTCTTGACCTAAAATAAGACTGAACTCGTTCATTCAAATTGTATTGTTTTTCTTTTAAGGTAGTATAAAGCTGAATCAAAAGCTATGATCTTTAGAAAAGGAAGAATTGTTTCAACCATATATGCATCATTCTTTCTCTCTCATTTTTTGAGTTGTTTATTAGACTTGCAGGACTAAATGTGACTGAGTTTTTATTTTAGGTTTGAAAAACATCAGTGACCACAAGTGTGTCTTCTGGCATCCCACACACACCTTTTAGGGGACTTCCTTATTCTGCTAGATGCCATAATTTCAGGTTGCGTGCTCACCTCTCTGCTGGGGAGCCTGATTTATAGAAGGCAGCCTTGGTAATGTGTAATCCTTTAGTGGTCCTGGCTCTGATGCAACGCAGCGGCAAAGAGAGTTAGTGGGTTGTTATTTTGCAACGCCAAACTCAAGACGAGTCAACAGCGTCCAAAAAAATATGAATAGATTTTTAAATGCTGTTCAATTAAATGGGAAATTACTATCACATGTTAATGCCCTCTTTATTGTGCTTTGTTCTGCWAATTTCCCTTCAGTTCCCTTTTGGCTTCCTCCTCATCCATTTTACCCACATGACTGAATATTCTGAGGCCAGATCAAAAGTAGTTTCTTTCTCTAATCTGAGGAACAAAAACAAGTCACATGCTTAGTTGGTATTTCTCAGACCATGCACTGTCTTTGGTTTTTTCAACATTTAAACTCTGTGAAACAGTTTACTTCTGTAAATACACTACAGTGGAAAAAGAACAAGAAGAATGCAGGATAACTTATCTTTTACTAGTGTGTTGTTTTTTTAAAAAGGGCAAATAACTTGACGCTCGTGAGTGGGGAAATCTACAGGAAATGGTATGAAAATGCCCTCAGATGTTGCTGCATTGGCCTAAATCTTCTGCAATGAAAGCATTTAGTTTGTGTGTGTGTGTGTGTGTGTGTGTGATGACTGTATAGGGCAAGGTTAGTGTGTAAAGTTACGTTAGGATCAGTTTGCAGTAGATACTCTCTCACTGCCATAGACTCCTAATCTTATTTGCTTTCTAATTAGAGGTTGACCAGGTTTTTTATGGCTGGCTTCAAACTTTGGGGATCAGGGCAGCCGATGGCTGATTCAAGACAGTGTTTAGTTAGTATGGCATTTTTATTTAACAAAATGTAACAATAATTGAACTTTTATACTGAAAAAACCCTTAGAAGATATTGCACACCTAACAAATAATATAGAAAGAAGAACTTGCTTTAAAAAAACTAAATTGTGTGCTACAGTAAGCTAGTTGTAGGAGCTACATCTTTGTTTTCCTACTTGTTAAGTTTATACAGGGATAGCTGAATGCCAATTAAAAAAATTGTTTGCCAATTTATCTCTAATCTCTAAATAAAATAAAATAACTCATATATAATGTCCGGTTTGTTTTTACAAATGATGGGAAAAAAAAGTTTTTAATTAAACGTAAAGGTTTTTAAAGGATCCTATAAGCGCCCCAGTCTGACCTCACCTGATTGTTAACAGGACAAAAGACTTTGCACCTCAGCGTAATGAGATGGGTAAGAGTATCAGATCAGTGCTGTTGGTGTTTGGTGGCGATGGTGGAAACTGAGAAGTACATTCATTATTCAGTATACTTCTTCCCCTCAACATGAATGCCACGCTGTTGTCGGTGAGCAGAAACTGAAGGACAGGGTGTGGCAGGTGCTGCGGCCTCGTATCGAAGCAGAGGCGCTCCTTGTTCTGGTACTCGCTGTATTTGTCGCTGCAGGACCACATGACAGTGCGCAGCACCTCTCTAAGGGGATTTGCTGTTGTCTTTCCAGGACATGGACCTGATAGACATCCTGTGGAAGCAGGACATCGATCTTGGCGCCAGGCGGGAGGTGTTCGACTACAACCACCGTCAGAAAGAGTACGAGCTGCAGAGGCAGCGCGAGCTGGAGGAGGAGAAGAAGCTGCATCTGCTGCGGGAGCAGGAGAAGGCCCTGCTGGCCCAGCTGCAGCTCGATGAGGAGACTGGGGAGTACATACCTCGTCCGCCACCCAGCGCCCCTCTGCAGCCAACTGGCACATCCCTGGAGGTTACTCAGGTACAAGCAAATAGCGTCGCGGCACTCCCACCTCATTTGGCTGTGTTGTAGCTAGGTAAGCAATATCATCTAGCATACAGAGACACACAGGTGGCCCTATTGGCGTAGTGCAAACCGGCTCTACAGAGCTTTAAACACTATAGACACAAAATCTGCTGTTTCTAAAACACCTGTGCAACAAATAATGCTAATTATACACTCATTTATTTTTGTAATTTCTGTTGCAGAATGTCAGTTTCACAGAGACCGGTGACAGCATGTCGTTTGATGAATGTTTGCAGCTTCTGGCAGAGACGTTTCCTGTAGAGGGAACTGAGGTAAGAATATCGAGTATTACCAAAGGTAAACAGCCTATAAGTGGATGGGAGTTCTTACACGTTTCTTTCCACAGAACGCATCCGTTTGCATGGACACACCTGCTACCCACAGCAACATCATGATGTCCCCCGAGCAGCCAGCCCTGTCGCCAGCCGACCTCCCCTCAGCTCAGCTGGCACTGCCTCAGAGGATGACTCCAGATTTGGAGCAGGCCTGGATGGAGCTTTGGTCCCTCCCCGAGCTGCAGGTATGGAACTTGAACTCTAGCGTTACTGTATGCTGCTCGTGTTGCATAACAAAACTGCTCAGAGAATATATGAACTGCAAAACCCTGGCTTTAGGGGACAAATACGTTTTTGTGTGCAGTATGAGAAAAGGGGGTTTACATGAGTCACACGTGCACAGCTCATTCCACTGTGATTAGGTTTCATCATTGAAAAGGTTGAAGCACTGGGGATCAGGGTGCTCATATTGTGTTGCTGTCTATTTGATTAGCAGCCAAGACTTTCAGGTTATGGAACAAGGAAACATTTTGTTCAGGAAGGTGTGGCCAACCTACACTAACTAGAGAAAAGGTGAAGATTAAAGCACAGCTGTTTATTTTTTATTTTTTTTTTCGGTTGCTGCACCTCTTATTTGCATTTTGTGATGGGCGGAGCGAGTCGACATCTGATGCCTTTTTCTTAAACTGAACTCCGGTCCTGACCATAAATATCGCTCTTCTGACAAACTGCTGGGAAGTCTGACATACCAGAGATGATTCTAAAGCTGTACTTGAGATTAAATAGTATGTACACCTTAAAAGAACAAGAAGTGGAAGAACTGAACAAATATTGGAAATCCCAGACACTTTGTGTAAGAACTGGCTTTTCCAGTTTTTTTTGTCTCCATAAATACATTTGTAAAGCTGAACAACTAGTTCATGCATCACCAACCAAAAGCCTTTTTACATACAGTATTACAACTTTTATTGTGTCAAATACTATATTCAGAAAATAAATTTTAATTTTAAGATAAAAATGATCCAAATTTGAGAACAAAAGTCATGTAGGGCAGTTAACAATAATCCCTTTTTGTGTCTTTCATAAAATTAAACAATGCATAACTGTTATTTGAACTATTTTTGTACATGCTCTTATGTTTTTGTTTTTTTCCTCCTAGCAATGCCTGAACATGCCTATGAAAGACACGATGGAGACCACATCTTATCCACTTTCAAACAACCCTGAAGTTCAGAGTCCAAGCTACCCCAACTATCTGCAAATGCAAACTCTTATTTTTAACCCCATGACCACGGTCTCAGATGTCAAAACAAACAGTCTGAATGTCCCCACAGAGTTCATGAATACTTTTGAGGGCTCCGTTCCCAGTGTGGCTCCATCTCATAACTTCAGAGAGGTGAAGCCCGAGGCCTCGCAGCTAAATTCAAGCTTCAGCGCAGACGTGTTTTATCTCAACACCGAGCTGGAAGAGAGCAGCGGCCAACCCAGCCCAGACATCATTGAAAGTACGTCTGATGCTTCAAACAAGCCCACCTATACATCCATGGACCTTTACAGCCTTTCACCTGGAGAATCATTCGACAAAAGCAAACAGAATCTGACAGAAGAACATCCAGACTCAGATTCTGGAATCTCCATCCAAGGAAGTCCAAATTCACCGAGCAAATCTGCGTATGGAGGCGAGTCCTTTAGATACGATTCAGAGATGGAAGACATGGACCACAGTCCTGGGAGTGCAGAATCTGAATACTCTGAGATATTTCCACTAAATTACCAACTTGATAATCCAGAATCAGAAGTACCAGCGTCATCAACTGGGGAGCCAGAACAAGAAAAGAAACCCAAACAACACACAGTGGATCCGGCAGAGAAGAGCGGCCACAGCGGTGCTCCTTTCACCAAAGACAAACCCAAAAGACGCTCGGATGTGCGTCTCTCCAGAGACGAGCAGAAGGCCAAGACCCTCAAGATCCCATTCACCGTCGACATGATTATCAATCTGCCAGTCGACGACTTCAACGAGCTCATGTCCAAGCACCAGCTCAACGAGGCCCAGCTGGCCCTGGTGCGCGACATTCGCCGCCGCGGCAAGAACAAGGTGGCTGCCCAGAACTGCCGCAAGCGCAAGATGGAGAACATAGTGGGTCTGGAGGGCGAACTGGACTCGCTGAATGAGGAAAAAGAGCGCCTGCTGAAAGAGAAGAGCAAGAACATGACAGACCTGAAGGAAATGAAGCAGCAGCTCACAAGCTTGTACCAGGAAGTCTTCAGCCTGTTGAGGGACGAGCAGGGAAACTCGTACTCCCCTCTGGAATACTCTCTCCAGCAGTCGACCGATGGCAGCGTCTTCCTCGTCCCTCGCATTAAAAAGACTTTCAGAAGTGAAGACAACCACTTATCTCCTTTGTAACATGGTACTGCACTAAGACAAAACTATGCAATAATGTTGCATCTACTCAGCTTTAAGCTTTAGCAGCCTACTGTAGTTTCTGCTTATTCTCCTCGAATGTTGTAATATTTTTGATATTTTGTACTCTATATTCTATCAGATTCCTTAACCAATACTTTGTAAATATAAACACCTGTTCTAGAGTTTGATGAAAAGGTTACTGTATGTATGTGTGTATATATTGTATATATATCTATACCTATATGCTAATGATTGTTTCAATCATTACCTCTTTTATAATCTTCCCTTTGTTCGATGTCCAGTTTTTTTTAAATCTCGTCTTTTATTCTTTCAAATAAACTCCACAAATTTGCTGTATTTTGTGTAAACGTGTGGTTTACTCCTTCCACAATCTACAACAGATTGCTGCCAGATGCATCGTAAAAGCTAAGGAGTGATTGCATAACTCGCATGTTCAAGTCAAGTCTTAACTTGAAGGCTTAAAGCGAGTAAATGGAGTCTTGTTTTGAAACAAAATGGCCACCAGCCTAAATTTCCATGACCTGCATAGTTTTTTTCAGCAAGCTTATTTGAGCGTAATCTATTTTTTTAAGTTACTCCTTCTTGAAGTCACACCTTCGTTATTCATTATGTTGCACAACAGAGGGCATAACTGCGTGACAACAGTGGGTTTACAGTGAATCATGCAGGACACTCCCACTGTGGCATAGTTCAACAAAGTCAGAGGTAAAGTCATTTAATCAGCATTCCCTTCACACGCACTTTCACTTACAGATACTACAGTACCTTTGATCACCAATCCCACTGCACACAATAAATTAATTGAAAGACGTAAACTCAAGGGCACATTTGATTTCAAAATAAACAATATAAAAGATGTAAAAGTTTCACTGTACAAAAAACTTTTGATAGCACAGCAGATTGGAATAAAACAGATTCAAGAATAAGGMAACCACCATGGGAAGAGGTTTGTTTTTACCTTTTTTTAATTGAAAAACAAGTCACACTTTGCATAGTTTGAATGAAAACAAAACAAAAAAACAAAACAAAAAAAAAACAGGTCATTGAGGAACTGGAATGCATGTACCGTTGTTGAGATAAGTGCTGAGAAACAGCAGGTTTTTCTGCATTCCACTCACTGTTCCTGGAACTGGAAAAAAGGCACTTTCTAATGAGATAAAATCAGTTTTAACCTGTAATTTGAAACTTAACAGTTACAGCACTTTATTACACCTATGCTCTAAGTATGCATGTATGTACTGTACACGTTTGTTCATTTGACTATTTTTAACTACCCCATATTTTTACTTTTTTTCCCCAACCACTTGCCTTTTTTTAATSTTTGAGCAAAATACTTCATAGTTCTATTAGCATATTAGGTGCTGATTTAGGAAAAAAAATAACTAGTTTTGAAGGGATAATTCAGTTTAGTCTGCTGTTAAAGTGAGGTTCTGTGGAAATGTTAGTACAGTTAACATCTTACCTGGTAGAGATGGAACTTTGAACCTTGAATAAGACAGTATTTATGAAAACCAAAACAGATTTCTGCTATATATTGTTATTTTCACATTTCAGCTAACATTGTGACTCAGTTGGTAGAACCTTTCAGCAAGAAGCTTAGATGTTTATAAAATAGTGTTACTGAAACTGTTCTTTTTAAATAGGATTAGGAAGCAACCTTCTTTGGCCTTTGCCCCACTCCGAGTAGCATTCAGTTGTTTCAGTCAAACTGAGGACATTCAAAGAGATTCTTACAACAGGTAAAACAACTGTTCATAACCTTTTCACAGATCCCTCATTTTAAAAGAAAGACTATTCCTTCTGCAACCCTTGGGTCTGCATGACTCARGTGAAACACCCTTAAAGAAATGCTTGCGATACCTCACATTTAAGACACTTTTATTCATTTTACTTAATCTTATCAAATGCTGAAATAAATAAATTTAAAAAAATCTGAATTTATTGACAACACAGATTTCAACCTTTACAAAGAACACTATTACAAAGTATATACAGTTTTTATTGTCTAGACAAGGTGTAAAATATTTTGTTGCTTAGCATGTTTCACCACTATTACTGTTGAAGTTGCTAACAACCATCATAAATCATTTAGGCTAAACAACAGACTGATCCTGATCAAAGTACACAGAGTACTGGACGTCACCCTGACGTTATAACACTTTTACTTTGGATCATAAACAATGGGCCTCATGCAGGAACATGTTCGTATTCTTATCCTAAATTTCTCTTACTTTTGTTCGTACGAACATGTCACGTCAGACTCAACAAACTCTTCTATCTTCAGGAAAAGTGTGTAAATGAGCTGCATAAACATGATGACTTACACCTGTTCGTATCCAGCTCCTCGTGTACGGGGAGAGGTTATTTACATAATTACCACCCCAGAAACATCATATAAGGCTATGTTTCCTGCCCCACATACCAAGAAGTGTCCATTCATGAATGACATAGCAAAGTAAAAAAGAACTTTACGAGTTCGGAGATTGTAGTCCTGCTCTCCGAGATCGAGAAAAGAAAATCTGTTCTCTTTAGCAGMGTCAGCTGCGGAATTAAAGGAGCTGCTTAAAAGAATGAAATGTGCTGTTAATGTCGTGTCTCCTGTGGGTCGTTACAGTCACAGAAATAAAAATCTAAATCAAATCTCTCTAGTCCTACTCCAGATTTTCTTTTGGTCAAATAATAATAATAAACAACAGTGTTATTGTGTTTACATTTATTCAGAAGAGTGGTTGCACACCACCACCCCCACCCTCCGCCTCCCCATCCTGAGCGTCGCAATTGACAGATGCGGTTCTGAAAAAACGCATTTTAAAACGTCTCCAAACTTCAATTAATGCAGAATTTAAGTTGTTTTGTAGTTTGAGATCTTCATATTAATATTGTAGCTTTATAAAACAGCATTTAAAGCTAATTTAATTTAATCTAATCAATTTGTCGTTCAAATCTAATTCCAGTTCAAACAGAATAACCTACTGTCAACATAATTATGGAGTGTGATTTTTTTCAACTCGAAATATTTTCTAAATAACAAAATATAAAGTTCTTAGTGAAGAAAATCCATCTGGATAACAGCAGACTGACTGCTCGTAAAATATACGACAGGTCTGGACCACACGTGAATTTTGTTCGTATCTGAAAAAAAAAATCTTATATACGAAAACATTGGTGAATGCCAAAAATTCTCCTAAATCACTCGTACGCACAACTTAAGAACAAATCTGTGCGTACGAACGGTTCTTGCTTGAGGCCCAATGAGTGCAATAACCAAAAATCTCAAAACAACCTTGGATATTTCAAAAAATGTCTTACCCATCCAGAACCTTCCATGTTATCAGGTCTTTACAGCTTTTCAGCAAGAAGAGAATTTCCATTTCCACATCTGTAAATCAAGCAAAGTGGTTACTCTTACCTGCTCCATCTTCTCAAGTCAGCTTTTGTGAAATACTCGCTGCCTTTTCTGGTGTCTGACATCTAGTATTGGCAGGTTAAACTGCTGTATCTCACTCAACAGGATCTCCAGTGCTTCCAGGACCTAGTCTCTCTTCGCTAGCACCAGCTGCTGAGTTGTTTAGCTAGCCTTGGAAAAGATGCTCACTACCAGGCACGACACTGCAAGCTTCCTCCGTGGGCGTTGTGCTCGATGCTGCCTTCTCCCTTCTCTCTGAAAATGCTGACTGGTCCACTGTGCTGGAGCTGAAGACGTCCTGTCTGACAGTCATCTGTAATCTTCCACACTAGCGATGCTGAGGGCCCAACTGCAGGTGCTTGTGGTTTTTATAATGCTACCTTCTCAACACTGGCATATGTTGTAAAACTCCCTTTACATTGACAAATACAAGCATACAAGACTGTTTTTACACATTCACAGATATTTAGAACAGTCTGAACTGGCTGATGCACTACACCAACATCACAATAAAGCAACAGGTAAATTGAACTCATTTAATCCTTTCTAAACCAATGACGCACTGCACCTCATGTTATTTTACTACACAACTTTATTTGGACTTTTTTTTTCCAACTATTTAAAATATTTGAACAACCTCAAATTTGATTTATTGTGAACAGGAAGGGTGAAGGAGTGCCTTGGATCTTAGCCAGGCTGTTTGCATTTGTTGACACTTATATTATTAAGAATTTACACACTGTGCTTTACATACACAATCAAAATACACTTGTCACTTGCAATTACAAAACCAAAATAACTTCAAAAATTGGAAAAGTGTAATTGTAGCTGAGCTATGGGCCTGATGTAGCTATGCTATCTGACAACAACCAACTTAAAAGATAAAAGATTAATTGGTCATCAGAAAACTAACTTTTGCAAAACGTAAAAATTAGGATTGACTGAAAATAATAAGTAAAAAAAGAAAACAATTTACTTATTACCCCTGATACCATAGGCACAAAACACACACATTAGACGCAGAAAAAGGAAAACTTCCTCAGCGGGAAACATCTATCACAATTAGGGAAGGGCATCATGTCTGCACTCATGTCTTGTTCAAACAGTCCTTCTTCCATTAACTTCTTCGATTTAGCTGCAGTAAAGTCTGACTTCTGTGTTCCTCTAATGCTTTCAGATGACTGCCTCAAAGTAACCTGCAGCTTTCCTGACAACTCCTTTGCTCACCTCCTCGCCTCTGCTGCTAAGAACTGAAGCCTGTTGAATGGATACAGGATAGAACACATAGTTAATCTGCACTTTGATCGGGCTCACTCTGTACTGTGCTACGAGGCTGCGGTTACATTGAATTCAACTTACCGAAAACATCAAATAATCAGTAACGACGTGATCCATAGCCACCGCCGCTGTTTCCAGAGCCATATCCACCTAGAATTAGAGGATAATCATGAACAATTATGCTGTTACTACCTAAAAAACTTATTTTAAAGACTGAACATTGTTCAGATATGTAGAGGGAAATACTCACCACCATAGGGTCCACCACCAGAGTTTCTGCCACCAAAGTTATTTCCCTTCATTGGCCCATAGTTTGACTGCTGCCCACCATAGTTTCCAAAGTCATTGTAATTTCCACCCCCTCCATAACCTGGAAAGTTGTTCCATTTTAAAGCAAATTTCATATAATTTACAATGTAGCTAAAACTTTCTTTGACGTGAACAAAACTTWGTACCTCCTCTATTTCCTCCATAATTTCCATCGCAGTTGCTACCACCAAATCCTCCACCCTGGTTTCCATATCCTGGATCATTGCCTCCAAAGCCCCCTCGGTTACCTCCRTAACCAGGTCCACCCCCATAATTCCCTCTAGGACCTAAGAAAACAATAAAGACATCAAGTATTACTTTAATACGAGTGTTAATGTCAAACATGGAAAGCGGCTGTATGTTACACAGTTACAGTTCTGATGCTGATATTCACTTATATGATTTGAAAACAACACATTTATTAGAAGTAAGACTTGATTAAAAGTTACATTTCATACCATTGTCAAAATCATCGTCATAACCACGCCCTCCACCGTAGCCACTGTCTAGAAAATAAACCAACCAATGTCAAGCACAGCCCATCAAGACAAATGATAAATGTTGAAGCATTATCACATGTTCAAATAAAAACAAGTTGATATCAAATAATCTATCAAATATCAAAGTAATGCACTTATAGCATTTGTACCTCGACTAAAGTTTCCACCACCTCCTCCGAAATTACCACCTCTGCCCATGAAATTTCCTGATCCTCCACTTCTGCCTGTGAAACGTATTATTTCAGAAACATGAATTATTACATCGCTGAACTGCAAATTACTTACACCACACACTGTATTCATAGGTACAGCTTTACGTTTTATTTTATGTCACACTTTCTTACCTCGGTTGCTGGATATGGCATTCATTTCCTGCTTCGAAAGAGCTTTCCTGACTTCACAATTGTGAAAGTTGATTATGTGGTATTTTTGAGCTGTAAGGAAACGAGAATACAAAACTAGCGATCACAGAATACTTCTATTTCCCTCCAAAAACCTCAGCAACTACATACCAACAATTTTGTCCACAGTGTCRTGGTCATCAAAGGTGACAAAGCAGAATCCTCTCTTCTTCCCTGTGGAGCGTTCCTCCATGATGTCGATGGTTTCAATCTTCCCGTATTTCTCAAAATAATCCCGAAGGTGGTGCTCCTCCGTGTCCTCCTTGATGCCACCAACAAAGATCTTCTTGACTGTCAGATGGGCTCCTGGTTTGTTGGAGTCCTAAAACAGAGAGGTTCAGTGACCACAGACCTTCAACAACACAACTCTGTCTTTCTTTCTGGTCTGAGACTTATGCTTTAAAGGGGCATTCTTCTTCTGCTACCTTTCATTTTATATAGGTTTTTGCTTTGTGTATTTTCTTTGTTTTTTATTGTATATAGTTACTTTTTAATGAAACTAATAATTTTTTTGAATTGAATTGTTTTTACCTCTCTGGACACAGCTCTCTTTGGTTCAACAACACGTCCATCTACTTTATGAGGCCTTGCGCTCATGGCATCATCAACTTCGGTCACAGAGGAGTAAGTGACAAAACCRAAACCCCTTGACCGTTTGCTGTTGGGATCCCTCATCACCTAGAAAAAAACACAAAGACAGCAAGGATAGACTCAATTATGTGTAGCTAAGCTGATATGATATTTTATTTGTAAATAAAATATGATAAAAGTACAAACCACACAATCTGTAAGCGATCCCCATTGCTCGAAATGGGCCCGTAAACTCTCCTCCGTGGTTTCAAAGCTGAGACCGCCGATAAACAGCTTCCGGAGCTGCTCGGGTTCTTTAGCTTCACGATCCTGTCAAACAAAACCACAGTAAAAAAAATATAATTTCATATAAAAAGTTTGTAGCTGCAAGATAAAAACAAACCATCAATAAAGACGTTGCATCACAACAAAACAATTCAAGTTTAAACCACAGTTGATTAATGTAGAACAACAATAACAAACAATAAAACTAAGCTTATTCAAAGTAGTTAAACACCTAAAATATAAGCAGACATGTTCCTTGAAGTACAACTTGATACACATACGTTTCCTTCTCCTCACACGAGGCATTCACCCCGTAATCAAAACACGTCACAAAAAACAAAGTCAAATACCACTACACGTCTAGCTTGTAAAAATACAAACACAGTAAAAACAGTGTAATAATATGAGGCTCTGTTTAGACTTGATGTTTGGAACAGTGTGATCTTTTTATTTATTTATTTATAATGGTAGATATTTTTACATTTTTTGGCATGTTTGACTTGTATCATAAAAAATGTTTGAACTTGCAACAGCACTCTCAATAAAATGTTATTATAAGTTATTATGTTTATTTTACATTTATTATAAGAATGGCTTAAAAGGTAATCATTTAATTTTTTATCAATGAGTCTGTGAATCTCTTGAAGCAGGTACAGTCCACTTTAAAGCAAAACTAGGAAAAACTGAGCAAGAYTGCTTGTGTAAATTGTAAATATTACATCTCTAACATATGGCGATGGGCTATAAGAATAAAACAGACATCAGCAGGTGTCTAAGACAGTTTTGATCTTATCTTTGTACATGTATGAACCATTCTCAGGCTAATGTGTGTAAAAAATACAATACAGTATCTTTATTGAATATTATGGTAATGCAATGATGTTGTGACTTTAGTGTAATTTTGACTTATGATTAAATAACTCAACAAAAAATAAAACATATCTTTAGATGGGAAAAAATAACCTGTTTTCCAGTAGTTTTAAATCTTGGAAGGCCCATGCAACTGTTATAATTAAAAACAAACAAACAACGTTTACAAACAATGTCTTGGCTGACAAGGTTTGACTGCATCCAGCGTTTTAATTTATGGTGCAAAATATTTTTGACACGAATAAGTTGATAAAACCTGAGGGGAAACACCATAATGAGGGTAGATTTTTGTTTACAACTTTGAGCGTATTAACGTGATTAGAAACACCTGCAGTAACCACATTAAACTAAAATGGCTGCTGCGTGTACGGCCTAGCTGAGCAGTTGGCTTTCTGTGACGGATAATAATACAATATTCTACAAAACTGCAGGTTTATAACAAAGCTGATACCGACAAGTGCATATGCATACTCAAGAATAAATCGCAGTCATAGTTTTGGGTTAAGCTAAACGTAGTAAGATGCACGAGAACGAAAAATAACGTTAGCAACCGTTAGCTTAGCCTCAGTAGAAGCTATCGACTACGGAGTCTTTTGGGTTACAAAAAAGCAAAAAAAAGGGGGGGGGGCGCAAATGTAGCGCGATGCATGCTGCCATCGATCACACGGTTGTGTAAAAATATATTACAACCGTGCATTTTAAAGACTTTCATATATTTAGATGTTTAATTTGCGAGATTCGACAGCAACTCACCTCCATTTCGCAGATACCTCTGGGCGGAAAGAGCCAAAGTCACGTGACAAGTTTTTTTTTTTTTTTTTTTTGTTATCGCCTCTGTTTATGACAGACTCATCGTACAAATCACAAAATACAACCAAAAATATCCTTCAAAATTCATGCATTTCAACTATTATAGAAAAAATGCACATTTTGGTTCTGGTTTAAGCATATTTTTAATTAAACTTAACTTATTTTAATGATGATTAACAGTTTCTGACAAAACAAAAAGCGAACTCTGTCGCCACCTCGTGGTTAAAAAGTAATTGTCATTCACAATCATACAAGTTTGTGCATCTATGTTTATATAAATCACACCCTTTGAAGCATGTGTGCCCTTATTATACTATTGTGAGCAGGCTTTACATAATCCAAAGTCCTTAATAAGTAATGATAACACACTTTAACTTTTATTATTTTTTATTATTATTGTCATTTATTTTATTTTATTTTATTTTTATTTTATTTTTACAAAAGAGCAAACTAGAAACAAAATTGAAGCTAAATTAATGAATATCTTGGGTTAGTTCATGCAGTGTGCAATGGAGTTACATTTTTCAGGCAGTGGTTGTTATTTTATTTAATTTATCAAATGATGAAACCATACCTGAAATTATTTTGTCCCAAAAGCTTTTTATGTTGCATATGACAGTTTTTAAATAATCATTCCTCTGATGAGAAATGCAAATAAACAATTTTAAAGGAAAAAAAGAACATTTGGGCAGCCATTTTAAATGGTAATTTTTTTTATTCTATATTATTGCGCTGTTAGAGATTTAACATGAGTTTCTAAAATCATATATTATCTGAATATGAAAATAAAAATAATAAAATTCACATTCATTTCAGGTGTACATTTTCGAAATGTATTTTTTTCCATCTGTGTCTTTGTTTCATTCAGATCCTGAGCCACATTCTACTCCGCCTTGTTGAAGCTGTGCAGCATCTCCAAACAAWATGACAGTTTTATGGTTAAGACAATGTCTGTCATTAACTTTATAGCAGTATGTAAGAAAATACAGCTCCAATAAAAAGGATAATGTTTTTCCTGACACTGTTAATGGTGAATATTTATGATCGGTCCACAGTTTAAATTTAAGCACAAGAAAATGRTTTGACTCTCTTACTCCCTGCAGTTACTTTATTTGCTTAGAGATTGCTTTTCTTTCTTATGTTACATCACTATTTTCTGTTTTATTCTTCTTATCASTGTCACACCTTAACCATTAACTCTGCTTACATAATATCAAGGTGTTGTGTGAGCCTGGACAAGTTTTTTAAGTGACCCATACTAGCTGACTATTTCAGAATGACTGAACAAGATTGCTCAATATTATCTGTACATTTRAAACCAATTCCCATTTCACAAATCACATAATATCTGAAAGCAATGTCAGGGATCTAYAGTTTTGATGTCCTTCTTTTTTCATGTTTTTTTTGTCATTTTGTCTTAACTATAAACTCTAATGCATCAAACATTATATTGTACAATAAAAGTAACAAAACCTTCACATCAGACATGTTTGCCCCAGTAACGTTCAGATGTTTGTTTKAAGAACAAGTTTATAGTTCAACACTTTTGAAGTGGAGTTCTGTGGATAGGTTACAARCRATCAGTATCTTACCTGTTGCAAATAGCTCTTTWAWGMACCTYGSTTTTGAGCAAAGTGAATGTCTAACAGCTAGTGTGAACCTTTACGTCCGTGTCAACTTTGCATTAGATGTTTGTTTTGCTTTATGCAAGGGTAATAGCAACAGCAGCTAGCTAGCAGCAGGAATAGCAATATTTCGGCTGAAGTCACAATGTAATGTAAAATTAAGGGTGGTRGATTGACTTATTAAATAGTATTCAAATGGAATAACATAATTAAAAACAAATAGTTGTTTTAAGATGGCAGCAATCCATTTACAACAAGTGAAATATGAATTGTTCATGACTTTTTTTTTAGCAGAAGCCCTAGTTTGGGCTCATCGTAGCTTTCATCTGGGTAAATCTGATCAGATTACAAGAAGGTGTACCACAGTTTGCTACTTTGGGAAGCTGCCTTTTCTTTTATTACACAAAAAGCAACATCCCAATCCAAAGACACCTGTGACCAGAAAAAAACAAAGACTCAGCAATCAGTCTCTCATAGCTGAACGTCCACAGGTGGGGGTTTTGTAAGGTGGAGATGAGCCGAGCGAGTGGAGAGCAGTGGAAAGGAAGCAGAGCAGTATCAGCCCCTCACAGATGGGGTTTGATGGATGCTCTGTGTACACCTCCTCGCCCTCACCTCAGCACAACGTGTTTGTTTGGTTGTTGATCACACCCCTCCGTCTTTGTGCCTAACTGCCCCCTGACACAAAGATATATCACCGGTCCCACACACCGCTGCGTGCCAYGGACCTTTCTTTTCCGTCATCTTGTGGAGGCTGCTTTGAACTTTCTTAACAAAACCACTGAAGTAAGTTTAGATTTTTTTTCCAAACATGCAGCTGTTGTTTGATCTCCGTATTCCAGGCCTTCAGCTCAGTCCAGGGTGACAAAACAGAGATTTAAATGCAATTTACATCAAACTTAAAATAGTTGTTTAATGAGGCTCATAAAAAGTCCAGTTTGCCAYAAAACTGTACAGTCTCAGTCTTGATATTATTATTTTTTTCCTGCAACAAATGAGTGATATAATGACCCTCTGAAATAGATGGGGATGACATTCTCGTTGGGGCTAAAAGGCACCACTTACTGTGGAACCACGATTAAATAATTAACACTGGTTTTATATCCGTTTTTACACCTCCAAATTATGGTTAGCCATATATCTGAGCAGCAGCCGAGGAGAAGCATGTCAGCAAAAATTTTATGTACAATAAATCTTGTGATGGAGGAGCGTCAGGCCGCGAATTATCCGAGGGGTGAAGGATGACCCTTTTGCTTCTTTTTGTTCTCATCAGGTGGCATAAACTGTGTATTATTAGACTGTGTGTAGTGATTTTATAAAGAAACGTGGCTCTGGTTGTTCACTGATTCAACAATACGTGTCACCACATCACCGTTTTCTAACATTTGTGAGAGAAACAGGATAAAATATGTGAAAATTGTTATTCATTTGACCAAATACCAACAGATCCATTTTTTTTCCCACACACCAACATCAGAATAAGCACAAAAGCAAGATTTAGTGCTTTTTGCTTTAAATGTCCTCTAGATRGCGCCATAATCCATGAAACTTTTGGCCTTTCAGGCATCTGCAAATCATCTCTCCTTGTAAATGTCACACAAAAAATTCTTTGATATTAAATTACTGTCTCCCCCTCCTGAGTCAAATATCTGGATATTTGATTATCTGTAATAATTTTCAAATCTTAATTATAGTTGTATTAGTTTTCATAATTAATCTGATTATGTGGGGACACATTTTTTATTATTGGCCTATTAGCTGCAGCACAGAGGATCATCCTTCAGGGAGACTGTTTCAAACTGATTGATTGATTATGAACTTTCTGAACATTTTGCAGGGAATAATAGTAATACTAGCTGTTTTTTTAACAGTAGCTGTTTTTGTTTTTGAGAACATGTGTTAATCTGTTATTTATCTTCATAAACGTGAACCTAATGCTCTTCTCTGCCTGCTGCTCTCGGGGSGTTAGGGTTGACCTTGTCCTGAGAAAGCACAGGCTTGGCTCCACGACTCCTCTGGGGAAGCGTGCCAGCTCTAACCTGGGCTTGGACAGACGGACGTACGCAAGTGGAAACAGTGAGGAAATGGACATTCAGAGCAGGGAAACCAGGGAGTCAATTTAGTCACTGTCTACTACCTTTTCACATGCAAGTACAAAGACAATCTCACATGTTGGTGTTGACGAGAATCTCTCTCCGAGGAATTCAGGGACATGAACAATTCCTAGCATCTGTTTCCTGCTCACTTGTACGCAGGAAACGGGGCGTAAATCACACAATATATAAATAGAATCGGGATTCAATTTTCAGAAGCTGAAGCTGGTGACTGTTGCTTTTGCGTTTTGATTCTTTATGTTGCTGAAATTCATGCCAATCGGCTGTAAGAGCTCAAATAAAATATTCAAAAACAAAACATATATCAAACCAAGCATCAGGTTTTACCTTTGAGAAAAAAAAAAGATTTATGATTTTATTTGTAATTCTTCTGAAAGCAAACATGGCAAAGTGTGCAGCATATGGGATTGAAAAGGTTCTAAAAAATAAATATCTTACCTGTTGGAGATAATTCCCTCAATGCAAAATTGTCAGTCTAACTCAGTGGCTCTTAACGTTTTTTGAGGTACCRAACCCACCAGTTTCGTATGCGCATTCATTCCCTTTTTAGTGATAAATAAATGATTTTTTTTCCAAATTCAAGACAAAGGTATATGTTTTTTTTACTGGTGTATAAAAAGAGCCGTGCATGAACATCACCTTGCTCAAAGAACAAAACCAACACAATGCATGAACTTACAACTAATTACAGTATGACTTTATTCTGGCCCCCCAAAAATAATTTGCCCCCATAAAAAATTCCAGGCCCCCAAAAATATTTTTTTACTACTTTACTTATAAAAAATAAACTGGGATATTTTTTGAAGAATTTAACATTTTTAATGACTTTTTTATTCATTTATTTTAAAGTTAATTAGTTTTTTTGTCGTTTTGAATCCACAAAATACTTTTTTGGGGCCAGCACTGATTGGCCAAACAATCTCACGTGATCCTCTGCAGCAAGTGATGGCCATGTGGGGCGTGTCATCATGACTTGACACAAGTGTGCCTTTACCTCCGCGACAGAGGAACCACCGAACTCCTGAGACCGGCTCATCGAACCCCTAGGGTTCGATCGAACCCAGCTTGAGAACCACTGGATCCAGCTAAAAAATATTTTTGATCTTATTTTGAGACTGATGTACTAAGCAAGAGCAGAATGTGTTAGATTATTAATCTTGTTAGCCTAGAATTTTCTCTTCTTTTCCTTGTTTCAAGAAGACTTACCAAGTGCAACTATCTTAATGCGCTAGCAGATTGTTCCACTTAATTT